TTAAAAAAAACTATAACAACCAGATCAGACTTTAAAAATTCATTCCTCCCCAGGACCCCGTCTATTAATAAAACGAAAAGAAAGTTGATTCAACTACATTTCACTTAGAAAATATCTAGGTTTATCCTAACCTCAATAAGATTTTGTCATCATGAATCATCTAAAAAGATTTCTTGTAAATTCTCTACTGAATAAAAAAATGAAAATAAGTGACCCATGATTGGAAACATTATTTTTAAATTTAATTACTTCACACAGTGCTGCTCTGAACTTTGTCAATAACATCTCCACTTTAGGCTTACCATTTAGCATATTAAAATTAATATCAAAATTTCATTTGAAAAAAAAAGTTTTATGTGCTTAAGTTTATTTTTTTTAATGCATATTATATTATAATTCTTTCAAATACTAAAGGTATATTCAATTCATATATTATTCATATATTATCAATATAAAAATTTCATAGCAATACAGTTTGTGTATACCATGTTCAGTTAACATCAAAGGATCAAAAGTTAATTAGAACGTCACTGCGAGTCCCAATCAAGGTGTACAGGGTATACACAGGGACCAGTAAGTAAATGTCAATCAAGTTCCAGCATCCAATGATGGACCTTTACGCACTTGATTGACAGGGCTTCCCAGACCAGGTATTTTTGAAGGCAGTGCTTAAAATCTCTGCCTTTAAATGTTCACTTCATAGGAAAAGTTAATTTACCTTTTCCCCGCAAGCACTTTATAGCGTGGTACAAGTTTCTAAAAAAAATTAGCGTAAGTAATTATGAGTCAGCCATATATTTTAAAAAGATTATAACATTTCCTGTTTTAAGATATTTTACCAAGTATTAAATAAGAGATATTTGGTATTAAATTGAATTTACTTTTAAAAATGCGTGAAAAATACATGATTGCACGGAGCTAATACATGTAGTAAAGGAATTATACAATAATTAGGAGTCAGCTGATAGCAAAGGAATTACACAATAATTAGTAATAATTAGGGGCCAGCTGTTAGTGATTGCATTATACAATAATTAGTAGTCAGCTAATAGCAGAGAAACTATACCTTAAGGTAAGTCACTCCTGAAATTTGTTATATCAAGGATTTTCTTAGAAGTATATTTTGAATAAGTACTCATAAAGTGTAACTCAAAATCGCAAAGAAAATAGGGGGTCAGTGTGCATCCTACTGATCTACGGTACATTTAAGTTGACCTTTTTGCACTTAAATTTCATCTCTTTGGTTAATTACTTTAATCTTTATTATACTTGATTAGATGTAAGCATGGCAATAAATATAATCTTAGTTTACGTAAAATAGTTTGAATAATATTTATCACTAAACAAATCTTGCAAATTAATGCGCATAAATGATTGTGTGACCTTTTTGCACTTAAAAATAACATATTTGGGTTATTAAAAACTTAATAGGCAATAAAAAATTTTCTTATATCAAACTTTTTACGACTTGAGTGCTGATCAGTCACAAGTATCGAGTAGTTTAAAATAATGAAAGAAAAAGGTGGGGTCAGTGTTGTTAATTTTGAAATATTTGCCAAAATATGTGATTTTCAGGCAAAAAAAGGAGTAAATTTGATCCTGACTTCTTTAATATATTTTCATTTTTTGGAAAAGTTTGTTGAGGAAAGGTGTAAAACTTAGTCTAAAAATATAAATTAAGACCTACATTAAATGTTTTTAGCAATATCCAAACGGAAAATATTCTCCGAGTAAAAGTATGTGAGGCTAAATTTCCTTTACATCAAATTTTATAAATGTGCAGATTTGCAGAATTTTCTGCTAAATATCCTTCCACCAAAAATAATAGTCCCTCATAAATCTTGCTTCTTTGTAGATTTTTGAGCAGTTTTTTCATTGAATGTTAAAAAAATTACATTGTTGAGTTTAAATATGTTATAAAAATTGAATTTTACTAAATAGTTTTGAAGTAAAAGCTTCTGCGTGAACTTTTCTAAAAAGCTGACGAGTGACTTACCTTAATTACGGGACAGCTGATATTAAATGAATTACACATAAATTAGAAGTCAGATGAAATAAAAGAAATTATACAATAATTAGTAGTCAGCTGATAGCAGAGGAAAGATACAATAATTAGAGGTCAGCTGATAGCAGAGGAATAATACAATAATTAGTATTCAGCCGTTAGTAAAGGAATTATACAATAATTAGTAGCCAGCTGATAGTGAATGCATTATACAATAATTAGGGGGCAGCTGATGGCGGATGAATTATAATTAGGGACCAGCTGATAGTAAAGGAGTTATAAATTAATTAGTATTTAGTTGATAGCATAGGAAATTATAAAATAATTAGGGGAGAGCTGATAATAAAGGAATTACATATCAATTAGTAGTCACCTGAGAGCAAAGGGATTTTACAATAATAAGAGTTCAGCTGATACCAGAGGAATTAATGGTAATCTAACAATCAAACTCTATGATAAACATGACAACTTTAAATTATTGACAAACAAATTGATCAAAGGAGATTTTGACCAGTCTCGTTTAAAGTCATCGTTTTGTAAGTTCTATGGTCGATACAATTACCTTGTCAGCGAAGACAATTAATCATAGAATAAAACGCTGACTGACCTTTTTCAAACTTATTGTTATGGCATCCGGATAGGGCCACGCACTTCACTATCGCATCATCGAGCTTTAGGTCGATAGTGCAATGAAGAGATAATGCAATGACGATGAAGCGATAGTGATGAAGTGATGGTGCGATAGCGCGATGACGATGAAGCGATATTCACACTCGCTCAATCGTGCTTATATCGCACATGAACCTTGAAAACATAAGAGATGGAAACAGTTGCCATAGAGTAGTGAGTATCCCCTGCTGACCGGTCACACCCCCCGCGTCCTTCTTGTCATGAGCAAGAAATAACTGGAAAATCCGCTGTTAATTCAGTATATAAATAATGGATTATGGAATCCGGATAGGGCCATGCAGTTCACTATCGCATCATCGAGTATCGACTAATAGGTTGATGGTGCGATAATGCGATGGTGCAATAACGATGAAGCGATAATGCGATGACGATGGAGCTATGGTGTGATAGCACGATGACGATGATGCTATGGTGCGATGGCGATGGTGCGATATAAGCACGATTGAGCGAGTGTGAATATCGCTTCATCGCCATTGCACCACAGCATCATCGTCATCGTGCTATCACACCATAGCTCCATCGTCATCGCATTATCGCTTCATCGTTATTGCACCATCGCATTATCGCACCATCAACCTATTAGTCGATACTCGATGATGCGATAGTGAACTGCATGGCCCTATCCGGATTCCATAATCCATTATTGATATACTGAATTAACAGCGGATTTTCCCGTTATTTCTTGCTCATGACAAGAAGGACGCAGGGGGGGTGACCGGTCAGCAGGGGATACTCACTACTCTATGGCACCTGTTTCCATCTCTTATGTTTTCAAGGTTCATGTTTATTCTTCTCCTATTCTTTATTGTTTTATGAACTTTTGATCTTGAATCCATATGTTTCATACAATAATTAGTGGTCAGCTGATAGCGGAGACATTATAAAATAATTAAGGACCAGATGATAGCAGAGAATTATAGTTGTTATCTTTGATTTGTATAGTTTACAGGATTGATGTCATGGACTACTTTTTGATATCTATCATTTGTATAGCTTACAGGATTGATCAATTTGATCACTATTTGTTATCTTTGATTTGTATAGTTTACAGGATTGATGTCACAGTTCAGTATTTGTTACTTTTGATTTGTATAGTTTACAGAATTGATATCACAGATCACTAATTGTTATCTTTTATTTTTATAGTTTACAGGATTGATGTCACAGATCAGTATTTGTTATCACTATTTGTTACTTTTGATTTGTATAGGTTACAGGATTGATGTCACAGATCATTATTTGTTTATCTTTGATTTGTATAGTTTACAGGATTGATTTTACAGATCACTATTTCTTATCTTTTTATTTTATTCTAAGCTTCCTTTTTGTAATCAATAACAAGAGGCCCAGGGGCCACAGCACTCACCTGAGCACATCAGCTGGGAAAAAACACATATCGGATAAGACCTGAAATTAAACTTAAGTTGGGGGGGGGGCTTGAATTTTAACCAAAAAAGGGATCATAATTTGAACGAACTAGAATCTACGTTACCTGAGGATGTTTCCATACAAATGTAACTAATCCTGGCTTTGAAGTACTTGAAAAGAAGATTTAAAAAGGTTTCCCTATATATTTCTATGTAAAACTTTGGTCAGCCATTTTTGCCACACCCTTACCCCGTGGTCATGACTTAAACAAACCTGAATCTACACTACCTAAAGATAATTTCACATGCTTTTCATCTTTCCTGTCCCAATGGTTCTTGAGAAGAAGAATTTAAAAGATTTTACTATATATTCCAATGTAAAACTTTGGTCAGCCATTTTTGCCACACCCTTACCCCAGGGTTCATGACTTGAACAAACTTGAATCTACACTACCTGAAGATGATTCCACATGCGTTTCATCTTTCCTGTCCCAGTTGTTCTTGAAAAGAAGATTTTTAAAGAGTTTTCCTATATATTCCTATGTAAAACTTTGATCGGCCATTTTTGCCACACCCTTACCCCAGGGTTCATGACTTGAACAAACTTGAATCTACACTACCTGAAGATGATTCCACATGCGTTTCATCTTTCCTGTCCCAGTTGTTCTTGAAAAGAAGATTTTTAAAGAGTTTTCCTATATATTCCTATGTAAAACTTTGATCGGCCATTTTGGCCCCACCCTACCCCAGGGGGTCATGACTTGAACAAACTTCAATCTACACTACCTGAGGATGATTCCACATCAGTTTCATCTTTTCTGGCCCAGTGGTTCTTGAGAAGAAGATTTTTAAAGATTTTTCCTATATATTCCTATGTAAAACTTTGATCGGCCATTTTCGGCTCAGGTGAGCTAAAAATTGATGAAGACTTCTTAAAATGATTGGCACATTTTATTGACATTGAAGATTTCATAATATCATATATGAATAACTACATATACATGTAAAACTAAAATCCTTCGAGATAAAACTATGATTGCACAAGAATGATGAGTTTGTGATTTATCTGTGACTGGTGTAAAATCAGAAAACTTCATCGCACACCAATACAAACCTAAGTTATACTAGCTTATATTCTTTTTCTAAAAATAAATACAATAATATTTCTAACATATCACTAGAATATTGCACTTTACAAGGTTTTTGTTGCTTTATTACACAACAGTGGCTGACATCTTCACAAAAATAACAAGGGATGTAACTCATATATCTCCTCATTTTTCCTCCTCTACTTATCTATACCATAGGAACTAAAACATGTCCTTAGTTGATAATAGCCGTCCTAGTGTTAACAGAATATCAATCAGCAGTTTATATTTGATATCAATCAGTGAGAGAAGTTTACAACAGTTGTGAAGGTTTGTTGTGATGTCACAGGAAGAAATAATCATGTAGCACTTAAAACCACGCCCCTAAGTGTGAACACCCTTCAATCTTTGTCATCATCCCGATCTCGTGGTCCCTCATGTAAACATTGTCTTTTAACTTTAGACTTCTCAACTCCAGGCTCCTTTATCATCAAACTGTAACAAGATCAAACATAAAAATTAACTAGGTCAAACATTAAAATAATAGCTATATGAATTTTTTATCAAGTGAACGGAAAATTGACATTTTTAAATTTTTTTTTCAAATAATTATATATAAATCTGTTTATACCTTGCTTGGACTAAAGTCTGCAAAGTTGGCAAAAGCATCCTCTGAGGCAGCAGTGTTTTTTCCTGTGGAGCTGGAGAAAGGGTCATTACCTGTCACAGGAAAATAAGCTGATTGAGCTGATATAATTATTTTGATCTTCTGATATTTCATACTAATATAAAGCCTCCTGATATTTCATACTAATATAAAGCCTGAGCTTTTAAAAGTCAGCCAGAGTAACCTTCACCCTGTAAACTCCAAAGTTCTATGACCTTGACCTTATCAGATTGACCTTGGTGTTTATTATCTTCACTTATGTGGTCTCCTTATCGATTTGAAAAGGTCTGACAAAAATTTCAATGGAAATGACAAAGCTTACTTTTCAGAACTCTGTAAACTTAATTAAATCATGCAACTTTATGACGCAGGTACTATTATACATAACACTACAAAGTCAAAGATACCTGCAAATGGATCACTGTCAAATCCCCCCAGCTGTTGACTGGGGCTGGGGGTGGGTCTGTTTTTGGGAGGGGCAGGTCTTGGGGGAGGCTGCTTTTTCTGTTTGGGGGCAAAGCTGGGGCGGGTGACTTGGGTCCCAGAGGAGGTCGAGAAGGGGATTTTGGTGCAAAAGGGTCACCACCAAATAGATTGCCTGGTTTCTGTAAAAAAAAAAGAAAGAATCCCAAGGGGAATAATTATCTAAAATACATGTCAGGGTTTGACATTAAGGCACGTCCGACAGACTGAGTCTAGTAAAAGTTTGGTCTGGTCGGGTAAAATGTCTGTGTACTAAACCGACTGGTCATGTACAAAAAATAAAAGAACTTTAATTTTAAACAATTTATTGTCAATGAAAAATAAATCAAAACATTTCTAACCGCATAGTAGAAAGAAAACTAAATACGTAACAATCACACATGACAATACAGCATGACCGAAATGCTATCATTAAGAGTCATTGTAGGCAATTGTAAATACTATGCCATTTTCCTAAAGAGAAACAATAAGCTATATATCGTTCATGGAAATGACTGATGAGATACGATTGTTATTGTCGAAAGATCCAAGTGTACAACAAAGGTGAACAGTGTATTATCAAAACATTATTATAAATACACTTAAATTCTCTGAACAATTTTAATGGTATTGTATTTATATTGTATACAAGTTGATTAAGTTAAGTTTCGACAAAACATTACATGCCGCATGTATATGACAGTTTCCATATTCACATGTGTGCAGGAAAGTTTTGTTATCAAAATATGGATTACATTGGTAAAGATAACCAATACAATTAATCAGATTTATAGAAAAAGGTTACTCTTAAATTATCACTATTTCGTGCTTTAAATATTTTTGCTCAAGTTTGATCAGGGCTAGTGTTTAAAGGGTCAGGGCTAGTAAAAATTTGTCAGAGTAGCCCGACTGGTCTAAAATTCCAAAATCTTAATGTCAAACCCTGCATGTACTAGTATATTGTATCTCTTCTTATAAATATCAGCAATTTATGAATTTATCTTTCTCTACAAATAATAAATGTCATTCATTGATAAAGCAAAAGAACAGACAGCTGGAATGCTAAACTGTTTATTCTTACACTTGGTTTTGAGCTGGATCCTCCTTTCCCAAAAGGATCAAAAGCATCTAGTTTGGAATTGTCTGTACCTCCAAATGATGCAAAAGGGTCCACACTATTAAATGGATCCTCCTACAAAACAAATAACTTATGTCAAAATTTCAATCATGTCACTTGGTATAAATATTATCAAAAACTGTTTGTTCCCCTTTTAAAGATAAATTGATGAATAGGTAGATTAGTTGGCTTAATTAAATTTCATTCTTTTAATCCTAATCTTTGATACTGTAGAAGTACTTTTTTCAGTGTGATATTAATTTACGCTATTTCCGCGGTCAAAAAAATTCCACTGAAATTAGTCCAAGTGTACTTAAAATTAATGTAAAGCATATAGTGACAGTCTAAGAAATCTGCGTAATTTTCTACCCGTCGATTAAACAATAATTGAGATTCCACGGAATTAAGACCCCCTGGAGAGAAAGTATGTCTACAGTAATACAGTGAATCTACTAAGGACACCTGCTACCCATGTGATTATTTGCAATGTTTTTTTATGAATAAAATTCCTGTAAAAAAAGAAAAAAGGGGGAAAAGTACAGCTGAACACATATGGACAACATAAAAATTTATGTGCCTATATCCGGATGTAAAAAACAAAGTGAAAGGGTTCACCTTTCCAGACTTTGAGGAACTCTCAAATGTGTCGGAGGATTTAAACGGATCATCAGATGAAAATGGATCAGAACCAAACGAGGATTTAAAGGGATCACCACCTACAACACAGGAATAGAGAATACGTATCATGTGATGGCATTTAGGATTTGAGTCAAGCAAGTTTACTTTCTTCACATACAACAATTGATAGCCAATTGCCCTTTTTCAGACACTGACATTTATCAAAAGTTAGTTGGTAAAAAAGTCCCTAGATATGATTTCTCCTCTGATACATCTCCAAACTATGTAGTATGACCTGCTTAGTATACAGATTAATGTACCTTCTTTAAATGGGTCATCTTCTTTAAATGGGTTGTCTTTAGTAAACAGATAAATTTACCATCTTTAAATGGGTCATCTATAGTATACAGATATATGTACCTTCTTTAAATGGGTCATCTATAGTAAACAGATAAATGTACCTTCTTTAAATGGGTCGTCTGTAGTATACAGATAAATGTACCTTCTTTAAATGGGTCATCTATAGTATACAGATAAATGTACCTTCTTTAAATGGGTCATCTATAGTATACAGATAAATATTTACATTCGCTCTGTTTTTCTAGTAAGCTTACTGTGAAATTGATTTGAAAACATTTTCGTGTATATTCACGCGTAGAAATATACACGGAGAAACAAGCGTTAACGTTACGTCACAATGAGACTGCAGCGACGCTGGTAAAATGCAATAAAATAGGACAGCGGGAAATTCAAATATTGGGATATTTTAGTTGCCTCTAAACCGGTTAAATGTAAATATAAGGAATGTTTTTCAGTTTAGTGTGAATTTTTGGTGTGTGAATCACACAGACTTGCATATAGGCATATTTTTTATGAAGCGCTAGCACGTTTCATGAAATATGCCTACGTGACAAGTCTGTGTGATTCACACACCAATAATTCACACAAAACTAAAAAAAAAACATTCCTTAAATGTACCTTCTTTAAATGGGTCATCTATAGTATACAGATAAATGTACCTTCTTTAAATGGGTCATCTATAGTATACAGATAAATGTACCTTCTTTAAATGGGTCATCTATAGTATACAGATAAATGTACCTTCTTTAAATGGGTCATCTATAGTATACAGATAAATGTACCTTCTTTAAATGGGTCATCTTTAACATACAGATAAATGTACCTTCTTAATGTGTCATCTTAAGTATACAGTTAAACATACTTTCTTTAAATGGGTCATCACTCTGAAATGGGTCGGATCCTCCTCCACCCGTGTCGCCTCCAAACACGTCCTTACTCTTAAACGGATCCTCCTTAAAATCATCCAAGGCTGACCCTGCACTGAAATTACTGATGGTACTGACTGGGCTTCCATACTGAAATCATATCACAGTTAATGCACTTACTAAGTTACTGACTGGGCTGCCATACTGAAATCATATCACAGTTAAAACACTTATAATGATAAAGTTACTGATGGTACTGACTTGGCTTCCATACTGAAATCATATCACACACTTATAAAAACACTGATGGTACTTACAGGGCTTTCATACTGAAATCATTTCACAGTTTATAAACATAATGATAGATTATTAGTTCTTATTGTAGACCTATTACTGATATCATATCACAGTTAATGAAACTCAAGTCATGTACAATGTATTAGTTCTTACTGTAGACCTACTTACAGTAGCCCTGGTCTTGAGATCTTGTACAATGTATTAGTAATTAATGTTGCACTAGTACTTACAGTAGCCCTAGTACTAAGATCGTCCTGAAGCTGATTGGAGAAGATATTAGACACCTCACTGTTAACACTGCTATAACTGGCTATGCTGTGTTTTAACCCTCTCTCCTGATCATTCAAATGCTGTACTCTCTGACGAGTCTAAAATAAATACATATAAATTACAATTTTCATTATTCTATATCCAATATCCAGCAACATTAACTTGCGTCACAAGATGAGTGTCAGTAACTTGATCAAAATCACTATTTCTAAGTTTGTCCATTGATTTCTAAATACTTTTCTTTCCCTTTCCTTTGACTGATTTTTCAAAATTAAATCAATTTGCTAAATCTATACACTTTGTGCACAAGTGGAAAGTCTTGGGAAAAAAAGTTAAGTAGATAAAGCCAGATTTATTCCAGAATTTCACACATTCTCTTCCTATTTTTAAACTTTTTTTTTTGGTGGGGGGGGGTTAATAATTTTGTATTGTTAAAAACATTACTGAAATCAATCAAGGTTCATTTCTTCCCCCATTTATGTACAGATTTCTCAAAACTGTCCTAAAATTTACGTACATCCAAATGCAGATCAGAAATATTCTAATATGTTATATTTCCACGATTGAAGAGTTATAGTTCCTAGTGCGCTCTTTTGTGAAAAAGTCGCAGAAAGTACAAATTTCGCGGGATTTCTTGGACAAATGTAACATAAACATGTAAACAACGCATTGAATGTCGATGCAAAAATTCTAACAAAATGCATTTATTGTTGTGGACTTTATCTAAATCAAGAGTAGAGATGACGAGGATATTAATCTACATCTATTGGTGATCCTATGTATATATTTATCGTAATAAAGTCAATACCATTACACATAACTCGGAAATATCGTATTTTTATCAATGGACGATAAAGTTATGGTTTTCGCTCTTTTTCATATATCTTTTAGTTCTTCTATTCTTAAGTTAAAATGGATAATACACTTAACATTTAAACTTGGATTGATACTGGCATGTTTTGTATAATCCACAATGCCATGCTGTCCCAGTGAGACGACCAAACCTGCCTCTAATTCTGAAGAGTTCACTAATGGAAATATAACGTATTGTGACACTTGGACTCTAACCTGTGATATTTGAAGCTGTAAATCGTTTTGTGATTTGACCAGCAACTCCAGTTGTTGTTTTCCAACCTCCACTTGCTGTTCCATCTTTGATTCTTCCTCCCTCAGTGAATTTAGTTCCACTCTTAATTTCTCCAGCTCTTTCTCTTGGTTCTTGAATTTTAAGTAGAAAAGAATTTTATAAATTATAAAAGAACATGACAAAACAACATGAATCAATAAAATTCAAAATGTACTAGTAATGTAAAAAATGTCATACCATCAATTCAATTGCCCTTGATTTGACACCTTGGGTATCATTTTCACAGTATTAAATACTCGTGTAAAATAAGCAATCTATAGTAATGAATATTAATGAGAAACAATTTCACCTCTGATTTGTTTCAGCCTGGTTATCATTAAACATTACATCTGCAATGACTACTCCCTATGATGTTGATGAATATTCATGAGACACTCTACCTACACAGACTGCTCCCTGTTGTTGATCTGTGCCCGTAACTCCTCAATACTTTTCAGTTCTGTGTCACATTTTTCCTTCAAATCACGAACATTACTTTCAAGGTCAGATTTCTGGAAAAAAAAATCGATACTTGTATACCTTTTTATTGAGTTCATTAAGACATTTTTGAGCCCATTAATTCTGGTTTAATTAAATGTTTTACCTTTTCATCAAGTTCTTCTAGACATTTTTTAACCTTTTTTCTGGTTTTAACTTCACGTTGAGTTCATCTAGACATTTCTGAGCCTGCTCTTTCTGGTTTTATTAAATGTTTTACCTTTTAGTTGGATTTGTCTAGACATTTCTGAGTCTGCTCTTTTTTGTTTTATTTAATGTTTTACCTTTGTCGAGTTCGTCCAGACATTTTTGAGCCTGTATCTGGTTCTAATAAATGTTTTACCTTTTTGTCGAGTCCGTCCAGACATTTCTGAGCCCGTTCTTTCAGATTCTATTTAATGTTTAACCTTTTCGTCAATTTCGTTTATACATTTCTGAGCCTCTTCTTTTTTGTTCTATTTATTGCTTTACCTTTTCGTTGAGTACATCCAAACATTTTTGAGCCTGTATCTGGTTCTATTTATTGATTTACCTTTTCGTCGAGTTTGTCCAGACATTTTTGACCCTGTTTTTTCTGATTCCATTTAATGTTTACCTTTTCGTCGAGTTTGTTCAGATATTTCTGAGTCTGCTCTTTTTGTTCTATTAAATGTCTTACCTTTTCGTCGAGTTCATCCAGACATTTCTGAGCCTGTTCTTTCTGGTTCTCTAGTTGTTGTAGTGTGGCTGTAATGGCGTCCAGTTCTTTCTGTAACATGGCCACCTCACCATTACAAATCTTAATGTCTGCTTCTGTCTGGACATTGTCTCTCTCCAACTGTAACTTTTCTCTGATAATAGAAACACTCTCCCATAGAATTCTTCCAGCATTGGAAATAGTAGTTAATGTGTCTAACATTGAACAGGGGAAAACATATAAGAAATTATAACGGAAACCAGCAAAATAGCGTGTCCATAAATTGAAGGTGTTTCACAATGTATGGATCTATAGCTCTCTGGCAAAGTACTGAAGAAAAGCTACCTTTTCATGTCCTCAATTTCCTTGGAGATGATGTCCAGTTTTTTAATGGCTGAAGAATCAGCCACATGTCCATAGGGTCCGGCATTCACTCCATCCTGTAAAAATCAACCACCAAATAATAACCTCTTAATGATTAACAACAATTTTATCACCTTATCATGAAAATCAGATTTTTAATGAGTTAATAATGCTTACAATTTTTAGACCTATGATGATTTACTTAAACAAGAGGCCCAGGGGCCACAGCGCTCACCTGAGCACATCGGGCTTGAATTTAACCCCCCCCCTCCAGGCGTCCATCGTTTGAACAAACTAGAATCTACACTACCTGAGGATAATTCCATATAAATATCACTAATCATAGCTTTGAATTACTTGAAAAGAAGATTTTTAAAGATTTTTCCTATATATTCCTATGTAAAACTTGGGTCGGCCATTTTCGCCCCACCCTTGCC